CGGGGAAACTGAGGCACGGGTGGGTGGGGAGGGCGGCGCTCTCCGGGAGGAGCCAGAGCTGCCGTGGGAGGTCCCACGTACCTACCCCGATAGGTGTTTGTGGATCCGTGGGACCGCGGGAACGGGAGTTTGGGATCCCGCTGGAGCAGCACACGGAGATGCGGGGTGCCCCCGCCATCAATCACCGCTCTGCCCTTCCCGCAGCGCTCCGACCCACGCCTGCTCTCCCAGTTCTTCTTTGCCGACGAGAGGGTGACACGGGTGGTGGCTGAGATCAACGGGCTGGACGCCGAGCTGGACCCGCAGCAGTACCTGGTGCTCCTCAACCAGCTCCACCTCAGCCAGGTACGGGGCCGGCCCGGAGGCCGCTGTCACTCGGTCCCCCCGAGGCCGCGGTGACACCCCTGCCGTCCCCAGGCTCACCTGCTGGCCGTCCTGGAGCGCATCATGGACGAGTGCATCCCCACGCAGCGCCACAGCCGGGACTACCTGGTCAAGTTCCCCGAGGAGCTCTTGGTGGACAACCTGGGGAACCACATGCTGTTTGCTGCCGAGGTGAGCCCGGGGCCATGGACACGCCACGGGAGCTGACCCTGGGGGCCGGCATTGACAGTCCCTGTCCCGGCAGTGTCTCCTGGCTGGGACCTTCCTGGAGATGGAGGAGTCAGACGGGGCCCAGCTGCGGCCCCAGGCCAGGAATCTGCTCTGCAGCCTGGAGCTGGTCCGGACCGTGCTGCGGGAGCAGAGCCTGAGCCAGCCCAGCTCCTACCCAGAGCCTGTCCGGGCTGTGCTCATCCAATTCGACCGGCTCTTTGCAGAGTTTGAGCTGAGGTAAGGGGCAGGGTGAGGCTGCTGGGGTCCTGTGGGCTGTGCCAGGGCTGTAGGGGCCTCACAGTCTCCCTGTCTCTCCAGCTACGTGTCCTCGCTGGTGGCAGTGAAGTCTCCTGATGAGATCTACAGGCAGCAGGAGATCATCGTGCTCTTCTGTGAGACCGTGGAGAGGTGAGTGAGGGCACTGTGTGTCAGGTGGGGTCTGCAGGGACTCCAGCCCCAAGGATGGGCAGCCTCCCTAGACTCAGATCCCTGTAAGGGTATCTGTGTGTCCCCAGAGCCCTGCACCTGGGCTACCTGACCCAGGAGATGATCGATGGCTATGAGCCACTGCTGATGTTCACCATCCCTCGCCTGGCCATTATCAGGTGGGTGCAGCAGCCCCTGGTATGTTCCCTGCCCTGTACCAGCCCCTTCTCCTCATGGGGACTTGGGCTCCCAGGCAACCCCTGATATGAGATGGGCTCTGTCCCCTCACAGTGGTCTCCTCATCTACCCCGAGGGACCCCTCAGCCTGGAGCGGAGTCCTGAGGAGATGTCCCGGGTCTTCAGCCCCTTCTACAACCTCCTGAAGAAGATCAGGTGTGCAGTGAGGGGCGCTGGGTGGGGCTGTGGGGCAGCAGTGGGTCCTGACATGGGGCTGATGCCAACCCCTCGCTGCAGGGACCTGTTGCGGGTGCTGTCAGCAGAGGAGCTCTGCGTGCTGGAGAGGAGCCTGTGCACAGCCGAGCAGGAGGAGCCCTGCAGTCCAGAGGCGCCCCCAGCCTGGGGGGCAGCTGTGCCCAGTGTGGACCCTCCTGCTCCCTTCAGTCTTCTGGAGGTCCCTAATGCCACCCAACCACTCCCCACCCGCACGACACGAGTGGGACCCCCCAGTGCAGTGGGTGATCTGGGCACTGACTGTGCAGAGGGCCAAGATGGCAAATCCCTGTCCACTGGGACGGGGGTATCTCACACCATCCCTGGTGTAATGGTCAGCTCCCCCCTGCGCAGCCCCCANCGGGGGTGCATCGCGATCGAGTCCCCAGCTGCATCATCAGAGTGCAGCTCCTTCGGTTCGAACTGAAAGAGAGCAGGATTAGGTTAGATATTAGGAAAAAATTCTTCCCTGCGAGGGTGGGGAGATACCCAGGCTGCCCAGAGAAGCTGTGGCTGTCCCAGGTCTGGAGGTGTTCAAGGCTGGACTGGACGGGGTTTGGAGCGACCTGGGATAGTGAAAAGTGTCCCTGCCATTGCAGTGGGATGGAACGAGATGATCTTTAAAGGTCATTTCCAAACTTCTCTATGATTCTGCACAGGACATAAGAATTTCACCCTGTGCCTGAGAGCATTGTCCAAATGCTCCAGGACCTCTGTCAGCCTTGGGGCCATGATCGCTTCCCTGGGGAGCTTGTTCAGTGCCTGGGCAAAGAACCTGTTCAGTGCCTGCTCACGCTCTGGGCAAAGAACCTTTTCCTAATATCCAAACTAAACTTCCCCTGACACAGCTCTAGCCATTCCCTCGGGTCCTGTTACTACCACAGAGAGCAGGGATTGGAGCTGCCCTCAGCTGCCCCTCCTGAGGCAGCTGCAGCCCATAATGAGGTCTCTCCTCAGTCTCCTCTTCTCCAGACTGAACAGACCAAGGGACTTCAGCAGCTTTTCATGTGACTTCCCCTCTAGACTCTTTGCAGCCTCCTTTGGACACTCTCTAATCGCTTTATTCTTCTTTTATTGTGATTCCCAGATCTGTGGGGGCCTGTGGGACAAGCAGGGCTCCAATCTCACTGTGTGCTCAGGGATCCCCCATCCAGGGGAACCAGGACATGGCTGAAAACAGAGCCGGGGTCTGAGGGGTACACAGGGAGCCCCAAGAGCGGGGCCAGTCCCACACCTGCACCCATCCAGCACAGCCGGGGCTCTGCCATGACTCAGGGACCTTCTGAAGCCGAGGAGGTGCCGCTGCCGTGTTTGTTCAACCATCCTCCACGGATTCTTTACCCATGATTCCACCCCATTAGGCTTCCAGCCACCTGAATTATCGGCACCCACATCCTGTGGCCAGCAGTGCCAGGTGTGGAGCAAACACGTCCTTTGGCACAGCTGGGGTGGTTTGCTGTGGCCAACGCCCCGAATATCCCCCGGCACCTCTTCTTGGCCACTTGATTACTCTTTGTCCCACCGAGGGGCCACTTTATCCCCTTCCCACTGCATTACCCCGCTCCGCACCCCGTGGTGCCTGCGGGTGCTTCTCCCGGCGTTCCCCATCACCCCGGGAATGCTGTGGGAAGCGCCGGGGTGTCACTGCCCCCGGATTGTTGGGCTGCATGGAGAGAGGAACCGGGGGAGGAGAGCCAGGGCTGCAGTCGGGAATTTGAGACGGGAACCAAGACCGGGAAGGAAAGCCGGCGGTGAAACCCATCCCGCCCCACGGCAGACGCGCCCTCACCCTTCCCATCACAGAGAACCGGTCCGTCGAGGAGCGGACGGGCCGTCCCG